CACACACACACACACACACACACAGACATGTTTCTCACTCCTGAAAGGGCTCCGTCACTTTAAACATGTCATTTTGGTCCCTTGTCGTCTGGGCCTCTATGACTGAGGGAATTTCTAAGCAGTAACTCACCCTCAACGTTGTTTTTGTGTGGTAGGAGCTGCCCCCCCCCCCCTCAAGCAACAGCCTGGGCAAAACCCCACCCGTCTGAAACTTATTTACACAACTTTGGGAGTGACTTTAATGCTAAAAACTGCCTTTCATTTGTAGCGAAGTGTTCCAGATGTTCTAAGAATGTAAAAGGTTTAAAGGTTTTAAGTAAATGCACTGCAACATAATTATTTGTTCTGACACCTTAAGTGCTTGGTGCTTTGAACAAAACTATTATAAAACAATATTGGTAAGCAGCTCATACATGTATATTAATGGGTAAACAAGTCAAACAGACTTCAAGCAGGATGTTTGGTGATTCTTTGTGGTTACAGCAATCATCTTATTTGTTAGTCAAAGTTAATCTATGAATCCAAAATAATGCACTGCATTGTGTTGTGGTAAGAAGACTTTAGGAGATCAGGTCTGCAGTTCATGGAAAACATCACAAGGTCTTTGCCAGATGGTCATATTTCTGTCTTGGCTGTGCCCCCCCCATCCCAAATGTCTACTTATTGTCGGTGCTCCTTTGCAGAACACAATGACTGTGCTGTTTCCTGCAGTCTGATCCTCTGGGCTGAAGCCACACCAGGACTACAGACTGTAAACAGACCACTGAACATACGTTGCCCCTCCTGCCCCCCTCCCGGCCCCTCCCCAGGTGTGCCAGTCATTGGCTTCATTGGCTTTTGCCGCACACAGTTCTCATGCCCTGCCGCTCACCAGCACATACACAAGTCATCCTCACTGTGATCGACACTGATTACGGAAAACAGGATGCAAGGGAAAAAATTCCCAAATGCCTTCTGCAATCCTCAATTTTGAAGTGTTACATGTGGAATTAACATGGAGAATCATGCCTGTTCTAATCATCATGTAGGTCCTGGTGTAGCACTGAGCATGTTCCCTGTCCTATCCCAGAATTCTTAGCACATATAATTAGTATGAGGTACATCTCGTCACATGCATTCGGTGCACTGGCATCAAAATGCCTACGCAGGATCTGTACTCAGCTGGCATCTTTACAAGGGGCCAGGAAATAATTGTGAGTTTAAATGTAAGTTCATACCATATAACATAGTTAATTGGCAGTTTTCTATATTCCACCATTTATATCTCTGCTACAAGACCCTCAAGTGCTAAATGATGATGCATGAGCAAAGTCAGTGTTGTATCTATTGCTGCTCTTTGCTGGATGGTGATCCTGGAGGGGGGGGGCGGGGGGGGGGGGGGGGGTGGGGGGGGGGGGGCTACTAGGGTGACCCGGCTCAAGATGGAAGCTGGCTTTGCTGCAGAAAGCTCAAGGACTCATTAGAACCTAGAACCTGTGCTAAACGGGAGGCTGGTGCCAAATAATGTGGCTCATCCTCTCAACGGTGAGAAGCACCTCCAGCCACCAGTCTGTCTCCCAAAAGGTATTCTGGGAGCTGTGGGGTTTATCCTCTTCAGGAAGGCTGAGAGGAGGGCCAGGCATGCTCTGGCAGCGATTAGCCGGCCGGGTGACCAGGAGACGGTGACATCCCCTTTAAAAGGGAGGAAGTGGCAGCGAACTGTCTGCTACTCCCTGCAAGGGTGGAGGGGGTTGGTGAGGAGGGGGGGAGGTTGAGGTCTGCACCCATTTAAGGGGGCTGTATTGGCTGGTTTTGATTACTGGGTGTTTTGCTTAAACCTCACTTTTCTGCCTCTGCTCACATAGAAAGATAGAAAATATAGTTGTTGGAGACCACGCTGGGACCTAAAACACATATTTGAAAAACCAAGCCTGCAGCTTTCTATAAATAAGTAATAGACGCACGACGACCGGCCAAACGCAGAATTCCCTAGACGCATAAACATTTCATCACTGTCTTACTGAATTCATAACTGTTTAGCTACGGAAAAAAGTTACCCCTCGGCGTGAAATGAACTCGAGTTAAACATTTTCCCCAGTCAGCCTAAACTGATGAAACTTGGAAAATAAATTTCAGACAAATATTGAGGAATAATTGATGGGTGTCCACAGGTTAAGAAAAGGTTACCCACTGAACTATTTTTTTCCATTAGATGATAAACAAAGATTTGTACTTTTATCTTCCCGCTATCCCACATTCCTCACACATTAGGCTACTTTGCATGGTTTGCAAATGCCTCAAAAGCATCTCATGTCCACCACCAATAAAACCAGACTGATGTCATCCATCCGTCCGTCACTGTGAAAAAAAAGTAGACATTCCATCCGTTTTTCAGACAAGGGCTCTCAGCGCGTTCATTTTATTACACTTATATAAAGTTCAAATGAGACTTTATCTCTCATCAGACCTTGATATGCAATTGTTTGCCTCATCGCTCCTTGAAGACCTCGGAAGTTTTTTTTGTTTGCTTTATGTCTTTATAACACCTGTTTTCTGGCTTGAATCTGACCCATAAAGCAGTGTATAACGCGCGCGCACACACACACACACACACACACACAAACAAATAAGGGGTCGTAACAACTTGAAGTTGAGACGGCACCGCTCCCTGTACGCCATATAAGTGCAATATCCGTTACTTTGTGATAAAACACACACATAACTGGTGACAGAGGGAGCGCCCAGTATAAAGTAGTCGTGCGCTTCCACATCAATGGAAAAGTATGCACCGTCTTTGCGGCCAGCGTCGTTACAACCGGAGAGATAAACCGTGCAAGGCCAGAGGTGCCGGAATGTGCCCGGAAAGAAGCAAAATCCTGGCAGAAAGCTCTGCTCCCAGTTTACACTTCAAGGCCCTCCGGAGTGTGACTCCGAAAGCCTGCAAGTCCGGGCAGCGGCTGCATACCTCCGACACCGGCGTCACCCAGACGGCGCATCCCTCGGCGCAGAAAAAACCCTCTTTGTTCATAACAGCGGCGAGGACGGAGGAAAGAGCGTCGCTTATCAGCCACATCGCCCGTTAGGGGAAGCCAGGTAAGGCACAGTCCATGCAGAGCCGACGGCCCGCTCCCAGACAGCGGGAGAGAGAGGTGTGCTGGTAAACCGGGGGTGACACACTAGTGTACACAGCAAGGTACCTTTGTGTCCTGTTAACAAGGAACGTCTGGAGGTGCAGAAGGTGTCACGGGCATCTTACCGTCTTTAGTTCTCACAACTGAAACAAATGCCGCACTTTGCAAAGAGTATTTAAAACCTTTACCTTCTGCACTTTCAAACGTCAATCATACGTACTTAATTGTATGTTACAGGTGATGCTTAAATTTGTTACGCATACATTTAAAAGGAAAAATCACATTTTTTTAAGAAGTTGTGAAGTATACTTATGAAAGCCTACAGTATTTCGTGACACGTTGGCGTATGAATCCAGTTAACAAAGCTGAGACAGATGAAAGCTTTACCGCGACTAGTGACCCCAGGGCATGTATTTTATCATTACTTGTGTTTAACTATGGAGAGTGTTGTGCAACAATATTCAATACATAAACATGTCGTGTAAATTATTATTTAAATTATAAATAATAAACCGTCAATTGAATGATTATTTAAATAATAATGTGAATTGTTGTTTAAATGATTATTTAAATTACAATTTAAATTATACCAACAACCATTACATTTTTTCTGTCAAAGTCACCCATCAAATCAGCGGGCTTGATCTAAGAAAAACCTCTTAGTGGTTATTTTGCAGATTAAGTCACAACAGATCGAACTCACCTAGTCGATTGAATTCTCATTTATATCCGCGTTTTGTCTATTCCGTCCAGGTCGTTCCTTTCCTGCAGGTCCAATCTTAACTATTTGGTGACCATGGTAACTAGGGTTAGGACCCGGTTGAAATTAACATAAGTTAAGATAGGAAAAGTGAATTACACAAGGTTTCTAAATTATCTTCCCCATTTAGGATAATCACGCAGCCACGCTCATGACATAACGATAACAAGTTTAGCTATACTAACACTATGTGGTGGCCAGTGAAAGGTAGGACAGCTTAACTGTTATCCTAAATTTAGAAGAGTTTATTTTACGATTTGGGGAAATTATGATGTAATACGGACACAGGACGGAACAGACAAAACGCAGTTATAAATGAGAATTCAATCGACTAGGCGAGCTCGATCTATTCGGACTTAGTTTGCAAAGTAACCAATCAGATGTTAGGTTTTTGTTTAGAGCCCGCCCACGGAGTTTGATGGGTGACTTTGACAGGAAATTTTAGTGGTTGCTGGTCAAATTGAAATTGTAAATTGAATAATCATTTAAATAACATGTTTATAAATAATCATTTAAATGACCATTTTAATTATAATTTCAAAATTTAAATGACAATTTTTATTGAATATTGTCACAAGACACGCTCCATATTTAACCCCAGTGTTAAATATAAAGGAAAAAAGCATAGTGGCTTTTTTTTTTAAGATACTGGTCAGTAAGCAAAACAGCACTTATATAAGCTGGCTAGCATAAGCTCACTGACCTTCATTTTAAACTGTTAAATGCTTATGTGTGTGTAAGTTTTCATATGCCTCTTATGGCAAATAACTGTGTGTTTCCATACATGTTTAAATAACCATACTTGTAGAAATGTTAGCAGAAACTGCATTTTACCAAAATATTTTAAAAGATTTTCATAGACGATTCAAGATGATTTCCACATAACTGCGTCACTACATCAGATGTAATCATTTCATCATTTATTTTTCATGTTTTGAAATGTGGATACCCTAGAATCGACCCTGGTGCAAACCCATACCAGTATAATGGTTCTTTCGGCTCAAATTCAGCATTAACACCAGTCTGACCTATAAGGAATATTGCATTGATGTATGTCCATAATAACTATGAAGCCAAACAACACGTCAACAATAACGATGCAATGAGCTGATTGGCAGGGATCAGGAGAGTGGATGTAATGGTTGGACGGTGTTTCTGCCTGGAGAATGCTAAATTACCTCAAAATTAGCCATAAAAGTTAAAGGGGAAATGTTTCACACAATCGTAAGCATTGTTATACACTCTGGGTTGCAGCTTGCTTCGCTCCTGCTAATGATGAGATGTTGGCACCAGCGGGCCACGCTAAACTCAGCCTTTTAGCGTATTGGTGGATGGAGAAAATACATCCATAAAAGTGGATTCTCTGACACCCCCCTCTCCCCAGGACAAGGGTAAACAAGTGCAGGGTTAGAGCTTCAGCTGTAAATATAAAGTATGGACATATCACCAGGTAGGGGGGTAGGGGGGTATCATGCTGCTTGAGGTAATGCAACACAGATATTTTCGTTTCAGTGGCGGAGGAGGGTAACTGGAATTGTACCCTAGGCAGTGGCAGACTAACTTTTCTGGGGGCCCTAAGTGAGCCATTTCAGCTGTTTGTTGGAGCCAAAGGGGAAATGAGAGGGAATTAAAAATGCTGGAGCATCAATAATATGCTAATAAAAACTTGGGGTACTAGTGGCGAAACTTATTCAGGGTGGGAGGCGGGGGTGCTGTCAGGACAGTTCACCAGTTGGGGGGGGGGGGGATCACGCCAGCGGATCGATCGGCCAAATTGAAGAAGCTCCTTCTTTTGCCATGATAGCCTATAGGATACTCTGCATGTGTTGTGTGCTGGATGGCTTGGCAGTTAAACATCAAGGAGACTCTGGTGGAAACAGAAACCTGGGCAGCATGAAGTCTCGAAGTAGGAACGGTCCATTACAGCTGGGACGGAACGGTCCATTACAGCTGGGATGGGGGCAACTTTGTCCGTCCTGAAAAATGTCACTAAAATGCAAATAACTGACTTGCTGCTATACATTAAATGATCACATTATGTTACATCCATAAATGTAACTTCTGGAATTTGTCTTCATGGGGCCCCTAGTTGTTGGGGGCCCCAGGTGGCTGCCTAAACCTGCCTCACTCGTGCGCCGGCCCCTGACTCCAGGACAGCTCTCCTTAGTACTGCTGTTTCTTTGCTTAGCCTTCCTCATGCTCATTCTTACAGCGCTGCCTTATCATCCCCGGACATGGACTCCGATGATAACTGGATCCCAGAGGACGTGGCCCGCTGGCTGGATCACATCGGTGTTCAGCATCAGTCCACAAATGTCCCAAGAGGTGAATGAATGCCACCGCTAATTCTCTCATCCTGAACTAGGGCACAGCAATCTTTCAGCTGGGATCCATTTAAAAGACTGTATTAATATGTGCTAAACAACATTTGTTTAATTATAACTGCAGTCAAACTAAGCTTTAATGTATGTAAAATTGCATATTTACAAATAAAAAAACTCCATTAGTGTAAAAATAATTTATGCCATAAGCCATTGAACCAAATCAGCGGGTCCATTTCTTTTTAATTTCCTGTCATATGTAATTGGAATAACTTTTATGAGCCATGATGTTAGTTTTTGATGTTTTTCCCGAGGGGACTGCTTTGTGATGCTGTGCATTAGTGTTCTTGGTTCTTTAAAGATCCATTTAAGTGTTTCCAGTGTTTGATGAGCTGTTTTCCTCCTACAGAAAATGAAGTGGACCATCTTCCGCATCAATACCTCCCGGACGACATGGGTACGGTCAACACGTGGGTTGTGTGTGTGGATATGTCGGTAGAGAGAGTTTTAGAGAGTGAACCGGACGGGCTTTTAAGCAGGGTACGTTTAGAGTAAGGCAATCAGTAAGTTTAAGAACCCAGTAGCGGCGGATAGCAGGTGCGGGTGCTTTGCGCCGTAGTGACCGGTGGGAGGGGACGGCGCTAGGACCCGGCGCGCGCCATAGGGAGCTGGCCGGCATTCCTCTCATTCCTTTATGAATGGGAGTGATTGTTGTCGCGCGGATCGCCCCGCATAGCCCTGCACGGCTCTGTCCCAGACCGGACCGGACCCGTCTCTAAACCCCGTGTCAAACCTCCTCTCCGAGGAGAGGCAGGCAGCGCCTCCGGCTCACTCTGTGCAGGAAAGTATCCCGCATCTGCACGTTTCAGGCACCATCCCCGAAAAAAGTCACGAAAAAAAGGTAAGATTTAAGGTATTCTGTAACGTCCGCGAGCGGCTTTAACCGCAGGCATCGCCTCGCGCTGGTGGGGCCGATCGGTGCACGCGAGCATTTAAAAGCGAAGCATAAAATCTCAACACTATAGGCAAGCAGAGTGGAAGGAAAAACGCAGAAAAAGCTTTGTAAACGCTTCCGAGACTCATATCAATTGTGCCTTTACTTGTACCAATCTGAGAAATACCCTTAAATAACTTTTGGGTTGACTTTTTAAGTGTGCGCTGTATACAACATAACAGAACTAAGAAGCGCCTAAAGTATTTTTAACCAAGTATGAACATTACTCACATACTTACGTAATATAAACGAGTTTAAACGCGCTTGCGAATAAGTTGCCCTGAGGTATTGACGGGCTTTATCTCCGCTATTTACATCTATTTAAAGGGCCGAAATACGTCGCCTGCCCCACGGCCCCATTGCGGGGTTGATGCGCTCGGGTGCGGCGATGAGGGACCCCAGAGCACCGGCAGCTCCAGCTCCGCGGCCGGTCTTCTGGGCTGACGTGTCCGTTTAGAAGCGCTTCGCTTTTTGGGAACTTTTATTGTTACTGAGAGGCAGCACGTTTTGCTCACTGTTAGAGTTGCGCGAAGGTCGGATTTCAGGATGACATGAAATGTATTTCACAGCTGTGCCAGTTAACATATCCTTGAAAGTTATTCCAAGTGACATATACACTCTTGTATTATTTACTCTGTTTGTCAAGCTATATATAAGCTTATATTATTTATGGTGATTTGCATGGGTAGGCTATATATTTAAAAGTTATAAATTACAGGCAGACGAGAATAATTGCCGCATCATACGTATTTTTTCCAGACAGCGGGGATCGCTTTGAGATCTGAAGTAGCCTGAATCTTTCAGTGGCTTTTCAAAAACAATGAATCGGTTTTAAATACTGACGAGGTCATGGTCTGAAATTATAGTGGCAGACATGCCACTAATTAAATGTTCCGTGGATGGGTAAAATTGGCTGAAATATAAACATTCTCACATATCTCGACATTCCAGTTACACGGACGGTCATGGTAGAATACGTAAAAATAGTTGTAAGTTTTCAAAGGCACGACAGGCGTATTTCTGACGTGACCCCCCTCCCCAAGGTTTCCCCAGATGGCGCGTTTTGCTGTTTTGGGAATTCCTTCTTCACTTCAACCCCCTTCCGGATGCTGTCTGCTTACATTCAGCCTGTGTAACGAAAACGAGGTGTTTATTTTGAAGAAGAGGAACTGGGTGGAATAGTTTCTAGACATTGCTAGATCTTGCCGTTCACTGTGTATTACGATCCAAGGGCATTAAAACCGTGTTAACTTAACTTAAGATATTGACTCCACTTTGGGAGAAGACATATCTTCATAACAGATATACAGTAAAATAAACATTTCTGCAGAGAGAAACTTTATTTCGGCTGGTGCAAAGTCCTGTTTACACCCCAACACAGCCCAAAAGAGGATAATGAACACGCACCCAGTCACACGGTACCTGGAAAAGCATGCAGGGAACAAGATGAGCGAGAGGTCTGGCCGAAACGCGGACGCCTCGGGCAAGCAGGGCTGGGGGCTGCAGGGATTTCGGTTTTCCCGGGAGAAGGGAGGGGTCTCCGCGGGGTGGTGGTGGTGCTTTCTTCATGAGCAGATGGAGAGTTTTCCATCTCTTCCGGTCACCTGCGTTGGCTCGGCTCACCTGCTAGCGAGTCGTAGCATCTAGTGATACATTAATCGTTGGTACAGTCGCAGTCTGAACATCAGCCCCAGCTGAGGAGCTGATCTGGAGAAACGTGACGTCGGTAGTTATGATAAAGAGCTACAGTGTTTACTGCCCTGAAAACCACACCTGCATGAGGATGCCGCTGTATGTTATGGTCAAATTAACTCTGTAGCCATGGGAAATCGGTCCAGCTCCTGCAAGGCTCACCGCTGCCCACTCTGACTGTACCCCAGGTTGCCCTGGTTACTGCCACCTGCACGTCCCTCTCGGGGGGTCCGAGGGCTACGCCTACTGCGGGCAGGAGCATGTGGTGCAGGGTGACGGCTGTGACCCGCCTCCTCTGACTGGCCGGTACTACATCAGCACAGACCGGGAATCAGGTACGAGTCACAATGGCGTCTGGGTCAAATGCTTCATTCAGGTCCTCTTCACTGGGTTAGACTTGTGCTGCTGTGTGGTTTCTCCTGCCTCTTGAGTGACCCTTCCCGACCTCCTCCCAGGTGAGGAGTCCCGCTTTGGCCCAGCCACCGTGCTCCCCCCCGAGAGTGAGATGCGGGGGTCCGAGGATGTGTCGTCTAGCACGGTTCTGCAGCGGCTGATGCAGGAGCACCTGCGTTATGGCGGCCCGGCTGGAGACAGCGCCGCTCTGAGCGGTGTGCCACCCCCGCCGCCCGCCTCCGTTGCTCAGGCCTCGCACCCGGGCCCCGGGCCCCCGTCCCCCTCTGAGGGCCCGCTCCAGGACGACCCACAGATGGTGCAGCAGTCGGCCCGGCAGGAGCCTCAGGGTCAGGAGCACCAGGTGGACAGTACCACCATGGAGAAGCAGGGGGGTCGCGTCTCGGGGCCACCGCCGCCACCCAGCCCAGGACAGCAGCCCCCGCTGCAGGTCATGGAGGAGCTGCCCAGCTACGAGGAGGCCAAAGCTCAGTCGCAGTTCTTCCGCAGTCAGCAGCCGGTGTCTGTCGGCCCAGGTTACTACGTACCGGCGGCCGCGGCCCCCACAGCCCCACCCAGCCCGCCTCCCCCCAGCTCCTCCCTGCCCTGTGTGTCCCCCCTGAAGGCGCGCACGGAGGGCCGGGCGTCCCTGAGCCGCGGGGCCCCGGCGCCCCCCCCGCATCGCGACGAGGCGCTGCTGGAGCTGAAGCAGGGCCACGTTCGCTCTCTGAGCGAGCGGATCATGCAGATGACACTGGAACGCAATGGAGGTCGGCAGCAGGCCTCCGGCTGTGGCAGCCTGCCCAGCCAAGCCTCCTCCGGCCGGGCCCCCAAAGCCGGCCTGCCCCCCGCCAAGGCCTTGGTGGACCCCCGGGGCCCCCCACCGGAATACCCCTTCAGGTCTAAGCAGGCCCTCCCCTCCATGGGAAAATCCCCGCTGGCCCCGCCCACAGAGCACGGGTTGGCCGTCAGTGACTCCCACGCGGGTGGCATGATGGACCTTCCCAAGTCCTACTTGCGCCCCCAGCCCACCAGGACGGAGATCACCTACGTCAGATACCCTTCACCCCCAGAGTACTTCACCAGGTGAGGCCCATGTTCTGACCACCTTGTTCTGAGGTCAAAGCAGGAGGCGCTTAAATCTGCTATTAAGTTTGTAACTCAGGTTAGTTTATTTAACAGATTGTTGAGGAGTCGACAAGGCAGCTAAAACTAAGCTTTGAATGGATGTCTGCACATGAGTGTGAGCAGTATAGGAGTATAGGAGCAGGAGCTAGATGACACCTTCCAACAAAGCAAGGACCTAATAAGACAGCTATTCAGATCAGCAGAAAGCACAGCATTTAAGGACATTTGGGGAGCGTGGGCTGGTGTAGGTGCTACTGGAGGTATTACTGGAACAGATTATAAAGTGACATCTCATTCGCACCAGTCCTAAGAAACGACTGACGTGGCACCGTCTCCTTAATTCATGACATTTAATTAGAAGCATCCAGTTATAGCAGCGTGACACCCAGTGAAGTTCGTCAGCGTTCCGCAGCACGTCGGAGCTCTGCGGACAGCACGGGGGTGTGTGATGTTAGCCAAAAGCATCCCAAATGCAGGGGCGCACGTTCTGCCGCGATGGCACTGGCCGGGGGCGTCACCGGCTCCGGAGGGCTGGGCGGAGACTCTGCGTGACGTACAGAGAGATCCGGCACACTCTGTATGTGCAGTCAGCCTTGGAATGCCGCTCCTGAAAGGGATCAGAACACTTCCGAAATCCTGTCTCTCAGCTGATATAAATCCTGCTGCTTTGCCACATTCATACCCCTGCAGTGGTGCATTTCCAGTGTTTCACTGGTATTGTGCAGATGTAAATGTTTTATCAATCATGCATTTTTAGGACAGCATTCAGTATTAAAAAAACTAGTATAAACAAAGATATCTGTCTTCAAAATGTTTACCCTGCCCAGGGTCAGTGGGGGGGGGGGGGGTGCTGGAGCCTGTCCCAGACACCGCAGGGCATAAGCCTGGGTTACATCCTGCATGGGGTAGCAATGCAAGTTATGGCACATTTAAATTTACATTCAGCTGACACGTATCATTTTGTTAGCTGGATACTTTCCGCATGAGTAACACCGCTAAGTAATTCAGCAGGGCCCCTTGGGGGACTTGAACCAGCAACCTTCTGGTTATAAGCAGTTTTACCGCTGCTCACACCCCTACACTCTCAGGTGGGTGAGGAGTGAGGCAGCGTCCTGGGGGGGGATGTGTGGCCCCATTGATTGGGATGGTGTTTCTGTGATCGCAAGGTTGTTGGTTCATATCCTGTGGTTGGCAGAGCGATGTCACCATTGGGCTTAAGGCAAGGCCCTCTTCCCCAAATTGCTCCAGGGACAGACTGACCGGAGGGTTCCTTTCTCAGATATTTAAATTTCGATAAAACCTTCTAAATAAACATTAGCAGCTGAGAACTTCAGTCTCCATAGTGGGAGATGTTTCATGGTCTCCCCCTGTCGCCCCCTGTAGGCAGTTCCCGGTATCGCCTCTACAGCAACACAGCCCAACATCCTCGCAGGTCTCCACCCTGCCAGCGTCGCTGGCCCCCCAGCCGGCCCTGGGGCCCGGCGTCCCTCAGCACCCTGGGGACGCTTTCGCCATTGTGGCCCGAGCACAGCAGATGGTGGAGATGTTGTCAGACGAGAACAAGATGCTGAGGCTGGAGATGCAGGGCCAGAGTGAGAAGGCGAGCAGGCTCCATCGGGTAAGGGCTGCCCCCCGCCCCCCAAAGGGACACGCACCAAGCCACTGGGCCCAATGCATGGGAGTGACGAACGCCCATGATCTAGGCATCCCAGTCCATTTTTCAACATCTTCACAGGGCTAGACATAAGGATTTAGGAGGGCACAGCCACTTTGGCCTTGGCTATTCATATTTTTTCTAGGGCACAAGGCCATTAAGCCTGGGCACAAGGCCAAAATCTGGAGTAAATTAGCTAGT